CACTGGTCTTTTCTAGAGGGTAGTGTTTCACATGTGATCTCTTACACTGAAAGTCCATTTTTCCATTCTCTTCCCTTCTAAGTGTGCAGCTAGGTGGGTCAGAAAGGCTCCCTGTACCACTCCAGATGGAGCAATGAGTCATACTCTTCATGAATGTGGTTTTCATTTTATGGTCCCCTGTTGACTTGTTCTAAACACTCATTGTTGGGTCCTTTGAGAAACACACCAAGATGTGATCCAAACAGTAAGAATTTGTTCTGATTTCCAAATTATGGGACAATGGAATGATGACATTTGTGATTTATTATAGTGCCTCATTTCATGGCACTCACTTTAGCAATGAGATGATCTCTGTTTAAATGTATCATGAGAACAATCCTTTTCCATGGATGTTTGAGAGTGTGTTTATTTTTGTATAATAGCTTCAATGTTGTAAGGGAATTTTGAGAGTATATATTACATATAGCTTTTGTTTTGTTTTAATCATGAAATATAGAAAAGACAGGAAATGAAATATTTCAAAGCAAATAAACAACTTAATACTCAGAAGAAAAAAGAACAAAAAGTTATGAGGATAGCTTTAGGTGGCCCCAGAGCTGGTTCAAGGGCAGGTTTGGTCCTACTTACGTATTGTACTATACCAGGTACTGAGCTTGTCTAAGCCTCAGTCCTTCTTCTGAGAAGTAAAGATAGGAGCAGATAGAATATGTTTCACTAAACAAATTCAGGTAAACAATTAATGGCTATCTGGCATGTATTGTGCCTTGACAAATGTAAATTATAATAATATTTTTAATTTATAAGTGATAATACAGCAAACATACGCTTTGGTTGGGTCCATGTTAAATTTTTAAAGTTTTTATTTTCACAGTAATCTAAATAGTTTGGGCTCAGACACCGCCATAGGGACAGAGGACAAACTCCTTAGCTCTTAAATTATTACACATTAAAAATTGTGTTTTCTTCTGAGCCAGTCAGGGACTTTTTTTTTTGCTAAAAAACAGTGACTCTCTGTATGGACCTACAGATGCCCAATAGGTAACTAAAGGTAGAACAAAGCTTAGCCTTCATTTATACCTTAAAACTGTGGGGCAAATGCTTGCTCAGGTCTGCATACAGGCATGCTGTTCATGTAATGAGTGTTTGTCTAAAAGTTAACAAAATAACATTCATTAACCTTGAATTTAAAAAAAACTATCTCATTCCCCTTTGAGACTGAGGACAATAAGGGATTCCCAAGGGCATTCAACCATTGGTGAATACCCAAAAATGTCCACTCACTGTCCTAAACATATGGTTGTCTCGGATTCCAGCAAAGCTCCCCCAAATCTGAGACTGTCTCAAGCAAAAATAATCATCTTGTGGAGACTGAAATGTCCCCTATAACCTATAAGGACTTCTGGAGCCATCCTGCCAAACAGAACTGAGATAATGGTCAACCGTACTCTAGCAAATCCTAGCAAACCCACAAAACCTGGTCTTGTTCTTTTGTTAAATATCCAGTCTGATCCTTTTCATTGGAGCTGTGCTCCCTTTGGCTCTTCAACCTATAAAGTCACTTTCCCATTTTGTCTTACTTTCTAACTCTGCCTAATAAGTCTGCCTATATTTCATTCTGACACATCCCAAAAGGTTTTTCTGTGATGAGAATCCACAAAACTACCCAAAAGGGCAAGGTCCCCATCTCCTCTTTGGGGAGCCCTCATTGGGCCTTGTCCAGTGACAATGTCACTCAATTATTTTTACCTCTGGAAAATCTTAGCAGGAATAATTATATTTTCATATGATGAGCAAGTAAGCTTTGACTGAGTTTAAGTATCAAGGCTAATGCCGTAAATGTAAAATAGAAATGGTAGATATTTCCAGGTTATAGTAAGATTTTGCATATACATGGATGTATGTACATATCAGTATACATGCATATACACATATAATTACATATATAATGCCTGATTAACTTGAATTTCATACATACGGGAATAATTTTCTGTACTATGAGTGTGTCTCAAATATTGCAATTGTTTCTTGCTTTCGTTCATTTTATATTCAAGTTTAACTGGGTGACAACCAACTTCCATGTTGTCACGAAGAAAGTAACCATGTAAAGAAGTATCTGCCTTGGGGGATCTTAGCCAAAACAAGAATTCATTTTCTGTAAATGATTAGAAGCTTTTAATTATCTTACAACTATTAATCAAAATTTAGCAAGAATTTTGATTCAGAAAAAATACAAAGGGAAATGTAATGAGGTTTACAAAAGAATTAATATCAAAGAAAAAAAAATGAAAGTAGATTCTTAGTAGAACAAGTATCTTCATATAAAACAAGAAATGAATCTGCTCAATTTTGAATGTATCTCTTTGAAGAACCTTTACCTAATTCCAGTTGTAACATTTGTATGTGAGAATAAAAGCATAACATTTCCTACTAGTTTTAATAGATATTCATTTTCTTTGAAGTTATCCATATAAAGGTCTTCATATCAAGAACATTTTGTAATTATTTAGGGGAAATTTACCTCCCACTTATTTAGACCTGACATGAAACTGTCAAAATATTTTATAACAAATCTACACTGTAAATTAGAAACTAAGAACAATATTTGTTAAACGAAAGAATACATTTTACAGTTAATACTTTAAAGAGAAAAAATGAAAGATATGAAAATTTCACTGAACAAATGTTAGAATTCTGAAGAAAGCCTTGCACTTTGAAAATTATCATTGCAAACACATTCAGCTAATGCCTTCACACAGTTTATCATTTTCGTGGAAGTATAAAATGTATATTTCTTTTATGCAACTACATATTTGTTGCTTATGTACAAAGTAACTGGCTTGAGTTATATTTTAAGATAGCAAAAGGTATCATTTATTGTCAATGAATTCTGAGGCCAAGAATAAAAGTAAACAAATTTTAAAATAAGCATAGTCTCTTTTTGTCCTATAAACAGACAATGGAATTCAGAACTTGCCTGCTAAATGGACTAGGGTTTTTTAAAGTTGGAAATTTTTGATTAATGCTTTTGACTAGGTCTTGGAATTGATAGTAAAAATGGTAAATTTAGCAAAGAAATATTTTATGTTTTGTGACAAATGTCCTATGAATGCAACTGATAGCTAAAGACATGGGTCTGTAATTCACATATTATTTTCTCTTTTAGGATAATTTATTGCACATTCTAGTGCAATAAATTTCACCTTCTGTTGATATGTGTACTTAGAATAATGGGCCTCTGAAGCTCTACTTTATCTGTCCTATACTACACTTTACTATTTGCAAAAGAAAAACTATGTTTCCAAGTTGTTTTGAAAACTAACAGAAATTTCCGTGGCTCTTCTTCCTAAGAATTTACCTTATATCTTTGAAAGGACAGTCTTAAGTGGATAATACATGTTTTAAACACACATTGGCTACTTTTGTAAGATGGTTCTTGCAGTTGAAAGAAACAAAAATACTTATAGATTACTTAAGGTTTAGGCTTTGCAGTTTGTATTTTGAAGCTACTCCCAGATAAAAATGGATTCCCATCACACCCCATCACATGGGTCAACTGGGCATTAGAATCATAAATTATAGCTAAATTATCTTTTAAATGCATTAGTCAAGTTTCATTAGGAGAAAGTAGATGCAAAAATTTTGAGTGACATGAGATAGAAGAAAAGGCAAACTTGGTTTCTTTCTGATGTCCAAAGCAGATTTCTCAACCCCCTTTTTCTCACTAATAAGAAGTGGTCACCAACCTTAATTAAATTTTCATTAAATTAATTTATAATTTAATTTATTAATGTATATCACCAACCCCAATTGTAAATTTCACTTCTTTTCATCTGTTAAACAGGGACCAGGAACAATACAATACCATAAAAATTAATTGCTATTTTTTTCAATTTTCTTTTATTTTTATTTTATATTAGTATCTGTGTCAGTATATAACATTTACATTCCTTGTGAGGAGTTGGTACATGTACATAACACTTTCAATTCCTTTTTTCATCCTCTTCCCCTTTCCTCTGTCTCCCTTCCTTTTGTACATTTTTGCAATACATAGTTGCTAATTTTATGTGATATAGTAATAGAATTAAAAGTAGGAGCACAAAATAAATAAATTTGTCTTAGTTATTTTTCCCATTGCTGAGACAAAATACCTGACACCCAACCTTAAAGGGGAAAGGGTTTATTTAGCTCACGGTTTGTAGAGGTTTCAGTCCATAATCAGCTGGCTCCAAGGCAGGGTGAGTAGCAGAAGGACAACAGTTCATGGCAGCGGAAGAAGCTAAAGCAAGAAGGGACCTTAACAGTGTATTCCCGCTCCTCTTAACTTATTCAGGGTACTTAGAGGTACTTAGACTCACATCCTTAATTCTAGTGCTCTCAGGCCTAGCACTGCACCATGAATCACGCACTCTAGATTCAGCCACCTCTGAAATAGCCCCATCTCATTCACATGAGGGTTTGAGAGGACATCTAGACACAAGCCATAACAATCCCCTTCCTTTTTTATTGTAAATATTTGCAGTACATAGTTGCTAATTTTATGTGATATAATAATAGAAGAATTAAAAGTAGGAGCACAAAGTAAATAGTTGTATAGACAGCAACTGATTCTGTGTAGTTAAGACATTTAAAATCAATCAGATATAGAAAAGCAAACCAACCTCAAGGTGGTATGTGACTAAAGTGATAGACTGATGCAGAATTCACCAATATGAGTAGTTTTTGTTACATCTTTGAAATTACCACTATTCTTAATTATTTTTCTAGATCCTACACAATTACTAAGAATCCAAGTCTTTTTGAAAAAAATTGGGACACGTAAAAATGTTCTAAAATATTACTGATTATATTCTAATAGGGGTATACATATTTCACATAGGAACATATAACACACTATATTATAAACAGGAAAGATAATGATTAAATTTTATTATGGTTGTCAGTATCAGTTCCTGATAAAAGTAGTCTAAGCATTTGAAAAACTCAAATTAAATACACTTCAGTGAAAATCAAAGATGGACTTTAATAATGGGAAATAAGCACATATAGTAAGGTATTTTTCATATCACCGTTTAAACTCCACAAAATATCTTAAGTTCCTTATATAAATATCTCACACAAACACAGTTGCATGCTCTTATTTTTTTACAATTTAACTCACTTTTTATTGAATGTAATTGACAAATAAAATCATATATATTGAAGGTGTACAACATCCTGTTTTGAGATACATGTATGCTGTGAAATGATTACTACAATCAAGCAAATTAACATATCCATCACCTCACACACTTATAGCAATTCTTAATTTCTTTTGCTCAGAACCATTTTATAATAGCACAAATAAAAAACTATCAAAGAAATATATCCTCATCATGTTACTACCAGAGACAGATCAAAACAATTAAGTGAACATTCTAGATAATTTCTTGTTATCTCTATACATTAATACACTTTTTAAAACAAAAAATTGGCAATGCCATATGTACTGTTCTGCATAAGCTTTCCAACTGTTAATTTACTTAACTTTCTTGTAGTAGCTATACACACACATACCACATTTATATATTACCTCTAGAAGTAAAATAGTAACCGATGTATATGAGCAGGACTAGGAGGAAGTCTCGAGGTCAGCCTCCAAATATACATGTTATTCTTAAGCAGACGCTCTGGGTTTGTGATGATGAAAAACAGAACCTTCCATCAAAGTTAACGGTACAGTATGAAATATGAGCTTTCTGTCAGAAATGGGAGAAGGCAAAGTTTCTCAAGAGTATTTAGGTTCACCTGAAAGCACACTCCCTGTTCCTATCAAGGGCACCTCCACACCAAGCATACACATGCAAAGAAGACTACAGAGTTGTTTTTGTGGAATGATAGAGATTTTAAGAGAAGCATGAAACTATACAAAACATTTCACCAAAACTATCTTAAATATTTCCCACAGTAGTCAAACAGGAACTTCCCCATATGTTCAACCAGAGCACTTCATTACCCCAAGTCAACTATTTCCCCTTCTAGAGAATAGAAATCACAGCTAATATGAGGGTTGGAGTCACTCCCTTTTCCTATGAACTCTCAGCTGAAGCTGGACTTGCAGGGCCATTGGGAGAATGTTCTGGCCTCTCTGAACTGCTTGTATATTTACATCCTTCTGCCTCTTCGACTCCTTCCTGGGTCTGATCTGAGGCACCGGTTGAACTGATACAGTTAGCATCTTGCTTTGCTTTGTCCACTTCATTATCAAATTCAATTTTATCTTCTTGATTGCTGTTTTTCTTTACTTGTCCATTCTGGGCAGGGTAGGTGCTGGCAATAATGTCATAGAGGAATTCATATTGCTCCTAGAAAAGGAAAGCAGCCAGGAATTACCTGAAGACAGTTGATGTAGTTACTTTTATGTTAGAAGAAAACAAGCAAGAACTAATCATTTACTTGTGGGAGTCTGGAAACAAAAATGTTCTCTGATATGTTCTCATAAAAGATTATTTTTTCACACTGAGGGACCAAACCCAGGGCCATGAGCATGCTAGGCTCTACCCTGAGTTACAACCCCAGTCCTTGTGACAAAGGTTCTAAATGACAGTTCTTTGAAGCTCTAAGGCTGCTTTTCAAAACTGACCTTAGCAACACCATACAGATGTTCCCATCCCACCAAACAAACTCATGTAACTACTGAGCTCTGAGCCTTTGCCCATGACACCAATTCTGTGCTTATCTTCTTGGCTGATACCTACACATCACTGAAGCATCAGAGCAGGAACTACCTGCTTCAAGAAGCTTACTCTAATTTTCTTGGTTAAACAAAATGCCCTTGTTTACGCTCCTCACACTAAACACTGTATCTCTTAGTGGCAAGAGCACTTAGAAGGTGCTTGATGCAATTTTTAAACCAATATATGTAAACTCAATATCATAAATGATTCGAGGCTTTATAATTTTAGGGAGTAATTAAGTTTCTATTGTGAATAATTGCTAGTTTCCACATGAGCATCTACAGTTATGGCCACAAAGAAAGGATACCGGTTGATACAAAAATGCAAGTAATTATTCTCCTTGTGTACACAGGTTTTTGCAATATGTCTGCAGACCCTCTCAACAGAGGGGAGTCTATTTCTTCACCTCTTGGAGAGGAGCTGGCCTTGTGACTTGTTTGGCAAAATACAAGGGAAGACAAGTTGGGTCAGTTCAGAGCCTGGGGCCCAAGAGGTCGCCTATATGTCTGCTCACTCACATGGCACTCTGCCACCTTAGGTGAAGAAGTCTGACCCAGCCTTCTTCAGGATGACAGAGGTGGCCAATTAGTCCCTATTTCCATACTAAATGGCAGTCCATTCCCAGCCTACAGGCAGTGGAGGTCATGTTAAACCAGACAAATCCCCCACGATTCACCAGCTGATGTAGACATCGGAGTCAGGGTGGTCTTGAAGCCCAAGTCTGAGATGATCAATACAAGAGAAAGAGTGAAAGGAGAAGGAATGGAAAAAAGAGGGTAAAACTATCAAAATGAAAATGCAAAGCACTTAAAAAGCAAGAACATGGAATACTTACATATGTGGAAATCATGCCTGGCCTAGCTTTGCGTAGAGATTTCACTACTTGAAAAACATCTACTACTTCTTCTGTTTCTGCACTTTTCATGAGATTCAGCAAAGCACAAAAGACCCCTGTTTTCTCAGATCCATCTCTACAAAAGGAAGAAAATATGAGAGGAGAAATCATTCTACTTTTTGTAGAGGAAGTGATAGCCTGAAAACTGAAAAATAGAATTTTTCCACATTTATGGCAATTCTCTTATTCTAATTTTTTTTGTAAGTATCTGTCTGCAGTACACAACGATCACATTCATCATGGGGATTGGTACAGGTACATAACACATCTTAATTCTTAATTCTTGTTTTAGTCCCTTTTCCCTCCTTTCCTCCAATCCTTCTTCTCCTCCCCATTTGTAAAAACTCTATTCCATTTTTTTCGCTTCAATTTTTTTTTCTTCTTTAAGTCCCTTTTCCCTTTCTCCCTTCTGTCTCTTGTTGCCCTTCCCATTTGTAAAGTTCTTCCCACTTCCTAATATCTGTCCTCCATCTTGCTCTTTATCTTCTGCCAAGTCTGGTTTTGTTTACAACCTTCTTCAATTTAGGACTCTAATAATCTTGCAGTGTAAAAAATATTTTTATTGGGAGATCAAAAATGTTAAGATATACCATATGTATATCACCAAAATAACTAATTACTATGTATCAAAAACATATACCAACATGATTTATCAAACTATGAAAGGTATAAAACATATAGTACTGATTCAGGTTAAACATATGCTATCTGTGGGTCACAGCATATTGTATGTTCAAAGAATATTATTAGATATTCAGCCATATTCTAAGAAGCACATAAGAGCCCACAATTCCCTTCTGCATTCTTCTCACATAAATTTCACTTTGAACAATTCAGGTAAACATTGAAAAGCAGTATTTCTTTAAGGACTTTTATCTAGTGTATCCAATTCCAGTAGTACTGAGGCTTTCACAAAAATTCTAAAAGCCTTTCACTAGATTTACATTTCTCACTTTACAATTTTTTACTTCTGATTTAATATTCTTTTTCATATAAAATTTTAACACTCTGTGTTCTTCCTTCAATATCTCTTACTTAGGTAAATATGTGGATGTGAAATACAGGTGAAATTTAAATATCTGCATGACAAAGACTAATAAAAATCAAATATTATTGGTGCTACTAAGATCTTTGCTTTTGAGGTTTAGAAAATCAAATAATGAGTTTAAAATCAGTTTCTAAGCATTGAGATATCAGTTAACATTTAATTTAAGATATGTTTATTGAAGGCAAAGTGTTCTGTTTTCCAGATTCTGTAACATCAAGTAGAATGTATCAATGTGCATAAGCATATATTTGATGTAATCCATCCATCTATCTGTTCGTGCATCCTTCCATTCACTCATTTGTCCATTTAGCACATGTGATATTCTAGATTCAGTGTTAGGTACAGAGAAATAAAAGTTGACATGACATTTGGTACTAAAGAGCTCACAGCATAAATCTACTGAACTAAAATGTAATTGTTTCTGTTATACTTCTATCATCAGTATGCTGTGATAGCATAACTAAGAGAGTAACCCCATAAGAATTTTGCATGCAGTCATGTGTTTTATATACCGGGTGTTATGGCTCGTATCTAGATGTCCCCCAAAATCCTCATGCAGTCTATAGGTGGGACTTTCTAGAGGTGGCTGGATTTAGGATGTGCAAATGTGGATTAAGGGTGTGATACTAGGATTAAGGATATGTGGAACTGGATTAGTCCACTAATTGTTTTATTATAGTTGTGGGTATGGGCAGTGGGAAGGGTGGGTGGCACCACCCAAAAGGCTTGTAGCCTGGAAGGGATCAAAGGGAAAGGGAGACTTGCTGCTGTGTTTGCTGCTTGCTGCCTTCCACCTGCCATGCCATGAACTGTTTCTCCTCTGTGATGCCCTCTGCCATGCCACCCTGCCTTGAAACCAGGTGAAACCTCTATAAACTATGAGTTGAAATAAACCTTTCCTCTTCCACCAACAGGTGGGTGTTCGAAATTTTGTCCTAGCAATGAGAAAAGTAACTAAGCCAGCAGGATAAACAGAATTTAAGACAAAGTGCCAAGCAAGAAGTCAATTATTATGGTTTTAAAACATGTCTCATAAATACCACCCACCTGCAGTGAACTAGGATAGGCACACTGTTGTGATACTTATTCCCTTCAGTGAAAGTCTTCTTGGGAAGTTTCTGTTTTAGGGCTTGAATCATTGAGACTAATTCTTTGGTTTCTGCAGGCAGCTGGTCCACATTCCAGTTAGTATATTGGTACTGGTACACAGTTCGAGTGTCTTTCCTCTACAGTCAGAAGTGAATGGAACATTAGCTCAAGTGAAGTTCAGTCAAGTTTATAATCTGATAAATATATAGCCACATACTCTTCACAAGTCCTCTCATTCAAATATGTTAACTTTCATGTACCATTATATAGATGGTGACTTTGCTTACATAAAATATTTTATGTTGGTTTCACTAGCAGATTAATTACACAAAAATAAATATTCTCAAACTTGTATGTATGCATTTTTTTTTTACCTTGGAATGTCTCAGTTCAAATTCACGGGCTGTGTACATTGAAGATATATTTGTGTCTTTGATGTGAACTTCTAAATCTCCATATGTTTGCTTTCCCTCTCCCCAGTACTGAGCACAGATTTCCTAGACAACAGAGAACATGGTTAAACAACTTGCACAAAGCTCTTCTGTTTGCTATATAAAATATTCATGGAAACTCTCTCTGTCTCTCTGTTTCTCTCTCTCTCTCCTCTTATTTCCTTTCCTATTTTCTGTTAAATAGAAATTAATAATTGTGTTTAAAAATGAAACCTGGTCATAAAATCTAATGAGCATTTTCCTTGAACAAGATTTAAGATATGTGAGGATCTGTCAGATAATGTGGTAGATGCTAAGAAAAACTAAGTAAAAATAAAAACTAAGTGTTAGATGATATACCACTAAGAAAATTTTAATGAGTGGGAAGATAATTATATATATATAGTAACATATAATATATTTTATATATATTATAATTATATATTATATATGTGTTATATATAATATATAACATATGGGCATTAAGTAAAAAATAAAATTATATCTTAAATTCACCTCCAAGAATTTTATGGCAATAAACATTACATGTGAATTAAAAAGGAAGAAAATTGTTAATTTTTTCAGGGTTTTTGTCTTGCTAGCAAATAGGATAAAGAGGGGAAGAGAGGACACATTTAGGTATATGGAATGTTATTAAGTTAAGACTCAATTCTGAGAATGAAAATCATGTGCTAAGACAGTCTATAAATCTACTGGTACATACAATATGGAAAACATAAAAATGGGAGGAAACTGGACAGATATATAAGACTTGTTTTTTTATCTCTTAAAATGTCAGATAGAAGGACCCGAGTTCAATCCCCGGTACCAAAAAAAAAAAACAATGTCAGATAGAGAGTTTGGCTTTATCTTGAGAAAAACAGAAAATACAGTTGCTGTAGGTTGTTGACACTGGAAGTGCTAGGTCTTGGATAATCTAAGAGCAGTGTTCGAGATGGGCGAGGAGGTGATCTTGAGAGACTGTCAGAATCTGGACATAAGATAGTTGGGGTCAACAAGTGCTTGGACTAAACAAAGAGACTTGTGTGAGAGAGTGATTAAAATGATGCAGGCAGAACAATCAAGCAAGTAACCCAAGAATGGAGGAGGATATTTTATAACAGACAGACTTTTTTTAAAAGACTCTCAAAAGTGCAGACCTGGTCTCCATGCTTCAGCTCTGTCAACATAACAATAACCTTGACTTTTCTTTGGAATATCATCTGCCAGAAGTCAACAATGGTCTCTTTCAGTGGTCCTTGAGCAGCAATCATCATTTCCGGTTTCCAGTAATTCTTTCAAAGAAATAAAAGCGAGACTCTGTTACTACTGCTCAGAGAATTAGTACATTCTTAAAATAACCATTGGGAAAAATAATCACTTAGTTTGACATCAATGCTGTTGCAGAAAAATATTAAGATTCTTATGTCCAAGATAAAAAGGAATATCTAAATATATTTATTCAAATAATAATTCTTAATAACAGAATCAAGATTAAGACATCCAATATTATCGTGAAATTCTTTGTTTGAATTATCAGCTTAGTTTTTAAAAGGTATGTGACAACCATTTACCTAATAACCCATTTGAACTGAGTGAAACGTTTCTAACTATACAAATACATAAATTTGTATTTTTTACAAGTTTTGTGTCTGAAACAAATATCAAAACAAATATTTTTACATATTCATGTTTGGACAAATTTTATTCTTAAAATATGGTTATAGTCCTATTTATTACAAAATATAGCTATTATAGTTTAGTTCTAAAATGTCTCAAAACTTTCCTGTGTTTACAATTGGGTTTTTGGTAGGTGACTGAATCTGGGGATACTATGCTCATCAGTGGATTGGTCTATTGATGAATTCATAGCTGAATGTGCTGTTAGGAAGTAGGGTCCAAGTAGAGGATGTGCATCCCTTTGAAAGGTACATATCTGTCACACTGGCTTTTCCTGCCCTCTCTCTCCCTGACTGACATGAGGTTGAGCAGCTCCCCTCTTCCACACCCTTCCACCATGCCATTTCTGCCTTAGAACCAGCCAATCAGGAACTGAACTCTCTGAAACTGTGAGTCAAAATAAACCTCTCCTCTTTATGTTGTGTATGTCAGGTATTTTGTCCCAGAAATGGAGGAGTGACTAATATAATAAGCAATAACATTATCTTACTCTGAATTAATTAATTAGGTTTTAATAGTTTAAAATTGACAAGTTTGAATATAGTATTAAACATTGACCAATATATACTTATGACTAAGTTCACCAGTCTTTTATAAAACTGTTTAATAAATGGCCCTAATAACATACACATGATTATAAAAGAGTTGTATCCTGGGTTGGGGAAATATAAATACCCACCATTACAAAAGATGCATTGATGTATTTGCTTGTTTCCTCAGAATCACTGTCATCATCAGATGATTCATCTGAATCATGCTCGCTCTCTTTGCTCAGTTCCAATTCATGTTTAAGTGCCACTCTGTTAAAATCATCTATATAAAATAAATTAGTAGTGAGTCTTTAAAAACAAGGGCTGGAGATGTAGTACAGGCATAGCATATGCATGTGGTTCAACTCTCAGCATCACCAAAAAATTAAAAATAAAGATAATCAAATTTCTACATGACTGACATGAATTAAAAAGTAATTCAGAATTAAATGTATTAATCTAAATGTAATGAGATTTTTGATTAACAAATTATTTTAAGACATTTAAATAAAATAAGCTCTCAAAAGGGTTACAGGGAAAAATATCAAATATTTTAAAAGTGTGTATCATAACGTTGTAAATGATTATTAGTCTTTGATGCATATACTTTAAATTTCTATGGAATATCATCATTCTGCCTAATATGTTAAAAATTTCATAGTTTACACTTTTGTTTCTCATTTATATTCTATTAACATTAAATTAACAATTAAGCAGGAATCTCAGATTATTATTTAGTCCAAAAAAATATTTAGTCTAAAATTCCTCCTTATTTTTCAATATTTTAAATTTATAACAACCTGGTCAAATGATCTGTTTAACTGCATTACTATCAATTCTGTATTTTAACTATATTCATAACGACTTCTATAGAAATTAAATTAACTAGGTCAGCCATGCACTGATTTGAATTATTTGGTTGTCTAGTTTATTAGCTTGGCTTATATTTTATCCATGCTAATTTTAGTATGTTCAGCTGAAAAAAATTGCCATAGTACCTGATATGATCCTATGAACATTGTTAAAAAGTAGAATTTGTCATGAAAATTGTGCATATTTTGATCTATCAAATTTGATGCTTGACAGTTTATAGAGTATTTTCCATGTATTTCTAGCCTCCCAGATATAAGGGATAAAAAGAAAGCATTAAGACAGCAAATGGATATAACATTTACTATTTGGCAATTACCCTGAAATCTACTAAAGATGAAAGAAAAGTAGAAAAGTACACTTGGTCTTTTGTCTCTCAGCCTCAAAATTTTGTCTTTTGTATAAATCATTTCTGAAATAATTGGTAGAAAGAAAACACTGAATATGGTTTATCCCTCAAAGTCCATTGAAAGTGCTTAGGGCTCAAATAATTTGTTATAACTAAAATTTAAGTAGCTTACTGACTTTTGTATTGTCAATTAAAGGTTGAAATTTTGCTTCAAGATCAATTGCTTGTGTCTCTCATTAAACAAATGCAAAAAAAGAATTTAACTTTTCCTGATATAAAAAATTTAAAAGATAACTACATACATGGAATAACATTAGAATTTCTGTTTTTCGTTTTATTTTCCTCTTTATGTCCAATATGCTGTGTTCTCCAGCTTCTATATGAAGGAAGTCTCTGAGGAAAAAATAGTAGAATGAAGAGCTTTTAAAATCTAAATATGAATTAGATTAATTTATTATTGCAATATAAGATGCTCCCTGTAGAATAAAACATTTCATTAATTTTTGTGAAATTTGTATACAGTCCCAGTCACAGTTTTAAGTTTGAATGTAGATTTTTTTTCCCTCTCAATATTTTCAGGCATTTAGTATATTTAACATGATGAGTTGAAACTAAAAACATACATTTTTTTAACGAAATATGTTCTTAATAGCTGCTTGATAGCAAAGTAGTATGGCTTACTCTTGTATAAGCTGAAAACACTATACCAATTATTACAGTGTAGTATAGTGAAAGCCCTATACTAATTACTACCCGTGTTGAAAAACCAATGGTAAATAATTTTAAATTATCGGGAGGAAGCTTGGCAGACACAGCATTCATGGAAGACTTGATACTTCAAATGCTAGTAGTTCCAGGCTGCTGTCTTTCTTGTTTACAGTAGTTAATCAGTCAGGAAAACTATCATTTCCAACGGTGAAGATCACAGATCCTTTTAATTTCTTTCTTCCTACTTAATCCAGTCCATCTTCATTCCTACTTAGAAAATATCAACAATGTCATATCTGGACTCTATATTCAATCTCACTGACTCTAAACTTTCTAAAACACAAAACAGAAGATGTCCATCGTGGGCTCTTCAGCAGCTTCCTATCATCATTTGAAGACAGCTAAATGTCTTTAGGGATATGCCTTTGTGTGTCTCTTCAGCATCCTCCCTTACTAGGTCTTTCAACACTTCAGCCAAACCAAACTCCTTCATTCTTAGAGGGATCATACTGTCCCTGAACTCTTGCAATGTACTATGGTTTAGATCAGTATTCCCGAGGATCCACCTGTAAAGTCTTGACCCTAGGGTGGTGGTATCTGAAGCCCCTATGGATTTTGAAGAGGTTGCACATAGTGGGACGTTCTTAGGATATACTGTCAAATGGGATTGTGGATTTCTCTCTGGACACATGTTTTTTCTGCTTGGATCACCTTTTCCCTTTCCTGGCAATTTGATAACTTTTTGTAACATGTAGGTCTGAGTTTAAATGTGAGTTTCTTCTGGAAAATCTCCCTACCTGTAGTTTTCACTTCCCATTAGTTCCTGAATAAATATTTGTCAAATGAATAATATTTAGCAACAACTTTCAGTACTATGAATAATCTAAATACCCGAAAGCTCTTTATGTACAACTCAGTAGGATTTCACACACATACACACACACACATGCATGATGACAGCTGAAGTATATATACATTTAACATGGAGCCTTATTTCATACTAAATAGGACACTTGTTTTGAATCTCATTTATGGCTGTGCAATTGAATGCAAAAAACATTGTCAGTGACTCTCTCAGTGCCTATCCATGTGAGCGTTTACCTTAAATATATAAACACTGCCAAATAGTATATATGCAAATGTGGCTTTGTAGGTTCTGTGTACTGATTTTAGTAAAGTTATCGGCTTAAAGACTAAAAAGAAAAAAACAGAAATTGACAGCGAAACACTCTTCTGCTAAGGACCACCCTGAGCCTGCCAGTTCTTCTAACTCTAAGCACAGGTCTTCTGGGATATTGAGTCGCTTGGTGATTATTGTCCACCCCACTTCCATCCCCCACTTCAGCCTCACTTTGATCTGCACATTAAATGGTTCTGCATCTAATTAAATGTGCATTCCTGGCCTCATGAAACTCTTGGAATTGACCCGTTTCATGGTTTATAGAAGGACTCAACAAGCTGGAAAATCACAGGGGGAAGAGAAAAATTACAAAACTTGACAACTACACAATCTGAGAATAGATATGCCAACTCTCTGAAATCACGGTGAACTACATATTCAGGTAACTGTCAGAATAATTGCCCAGTAAATAGGCGGGGACACACTTTATTATCCTTTACTTTCTGTCTGCCAGCTCCAGACAGTTCACCTTCCTAAGCAGTCATAAACTCCTCTAATTATTTCCTTTACAAACTTGAACCAGATGCAGTTTTTAAAGGTGAGATGCGACATTGCCTATGGCAGACCAATTTCATGGCTATATACTACGATTTTGACAGTTTATTTTACACTGGCTTAATGAGGAAGGGTTAAAAGGGTTAGCAGTAGAATCCAACTGCTGGGTGTAAGGACGTCTCCTGCATAATAGTTGTGCAGGATCAGGCATTTCTCTTAAATGCTCTGTGTCTTGGATTCCTCATCTGAGCTCCCTTGGCTATGGTAAGGACCAGAGGCAAGAACTATGTCTAGTGTCCAGCAAGCACCCGGAAAACAGCACTCAGTGAAAGTTACTACCGTCATTACCTGGAATTCAGCCTCCAGTGGAGATGGCTCACTGGGTGGGTCTCTTTTCTTCATGTTATGTAGATATGAATGTGAATGTAAGTCAGCCAAATTTACTTCTGTTTCTCCAAACTGGTTGTATTCCACTAAAGCCTGATGCATCAGGATATACTGTGCCTAAGATATCAAGAAAATATAGATAATTAACTAATAACAGAGTTCCATATGTCATATTTAAATAAAATATGCACCCCCCCATTCTGGGACAATTTTTGGCAAAAAAGGATTGATACTGTAACATGTAAATATTCTGGAAGTTAGCTCTCACACTTTTTTAGAATCTATGAAAATCCCATTTCCATTTTTTTTTCTAGGAAAAGAAATAGCTTCCCAAATAGAGAATCCATTATATATTGCATGCCTAAAAATTTAAAAAAGAAACATTGTTATTTTCCTCAGTGACTATTACTGAATTTGTAAGCAAAATTCATAATATAAAAAATTATAATAAAATTCACATTATATCAGAAAAAGCAAGTTGATATCCCATAGGATACATTTTGAAAGTGTTCTAGAACTTTTAAAAACAGAGAAAATTATTTAAGAAGGTCTTATATGCCAAATCCAAATTTACTTACCAACTTTTAACTTTTTATTGTATCCTATTTGAATCCAGTATTTTTAGGAAATGAGCTATTTCTGATGAGCCTGTTTACTACCTCTAGTTCCCTGAGTTCGGCTGCATCCTTCTATTTTACATTTTTCTCAAAAAGTTTCATTTATTTCGACTTAACAATCTATTTTTATATTTCTATACTAACATCTGTTTATCCACAAGCATATAAGCATTACACACTATTTTGTGTTTTTGTAAAGATCAACAAGTCATATTCTTACTTTATGTACTCACTGTTTTTAGCGAAGCATCAAGCTACACAGATAGATGCAGAACAAGATCATTCCTTTCAACAGCAGCACGGCCTTTAGCATACAGAGCCCATATGTCTGCATTCTGCTCTTCCCTTCCCCTATTGGTATATATTTAAAGTGTTTCCAATTCTTTCCTGTGCTAACAATGCTGGATGCAAGGAACATTCTTGCACCTGTTTCTAGTTATGCACATTTACAAGTGCTTCACTTGAGTAAATACACATGTGTCCTCTTGCCGGGTCAAGTACAGACATTTCCAATAATAACTGTCACTTACCATTACCAGAGTCATTGCATATGTCACAAACTTGTCAAGTGCTTCACTTGCATTTCCTTTTTTGTTATAAACCTGTTAAGTAAGTCCTACTTTCTCTCTATCTTGAGGATGATGCAATGGAGGCACAGAAAGACTACAAACCTATCCTGAGAGATGCAGAATTAAGATTTGAAACAGGATTTCAGTCTCAGAAATTTACTTCTAAAACCTATTGTGTATCCTCAATTTTAATTTTATGCAACATTGCCAAATCTGCTTTCAACATTATTATTTTTCCCAGTCTCATGTTTGTAAATGCTATTTCATTTTTAAAATATATTTTATGGTCATCTTTCACCCACAACACTTTCAGACACTAATGTGCAATGCTTCCTATGACTGGTATTATCTCATGTTTTCAAGAAATCGAAAGAAAATTATTTCCATGCATTGTTTGAAGTTATGACGAATTTAGATTTCTTTTAAATCATTACTACTGTCCCAAGAAGATTTAAGCCCCCAAACAAAAGTGAGCATAATCTTTAAAAGTTGGAGATTACCTCCACTTGCACCATGAGGCATCTCTGTCGCCGGAGCTTGACAACATAACCGTAAACATCCACCTTGCCCTCTGCTTCCAAGCCTTCCAGCATGGCGTCGATTCCAATGTAGGTGCCCGTGCGTCCGACACCAGCGCTGGTGAGACCAACAAACAAAGCGGAGCAAGAGCAGGCCGAGAAGTGAGTGGGAGAGTGTTCAAGGGAGAAGCAGAACTAAGAATGTAAGTTCCTCAACATTGTTACTCTGTACCCCATGAATTCGTACAATCACAAAGTGTCAACTTAGAGGGCAAATTGTTCTGAAAAAGAAGACTTTTCTACTAGGGAATTGCTCCTCGAAAGGGAAGAATGTTCCTAGCAGCTCAACTTGAAAGCTTGGCTTTCCTCTTCCCTCCCCTCTCCTCCCCTCCTCCCTTCTCCTCTGTTCTGTACTGATGACTGTCGTCAGAGACTTTATGCCGAGCTACATCCCCGGCCATTTTTTATTTTAATTTTTGACACAGAGTCTCACTGAGCTGCTCAGTTGCCCAAACTGGCCTTGAGCTTGTGACCCTCCTTCCTGCCTCGGTCTCCCAGATTGCTGGATTTAAGGCTGTGCCCAGCCAGCTATAAGCATTTGAATAGACCCACAAATGTGTGCCTGCTGTCACAGTTGTATTTTCTATTAATTTTAATGGTATATGTGGACAATACACAATAATTACATATGTATCTATGATATCATGTCTGGATCGTTTTCTGCCTTCTTCCCTTGCCCCTGCTCTTCTCAATCCTGAACTACAGAAAGTTGCTCTCCCAGGTTCCTGCCATTTCTCCTTTATTACACTCTCTAATTTACTTACATTGTGGATTCCTCCAATAAGTGAAACCACATGATACTTAGCTCTCTGCATCTGCTTTAGTCTGAGTGACACGGCGACCTCATCTTTACCTGCAGTGTACTACGATGGGGCCACTGAAGAAGTTGCTGAAAGCGTTCACTCTCCTTCTCAGTTTGAGCAGCAGGTGAGGTTCTTCGGGTACCCCGTGGTCCGGCCAGCTTGTAAACTGAATGTGAGTCACCTCTCTTCCAGTTCCTTTTTCTTTTTTCTAGACAAGAGATAATATTTAATTTGAGAAGATTTTGTTTTCATAGCAAACTACATAATATGAATAAGTGGAAGGAAGAACCAGTACAAAAATTCCTCCTCCAAATGTAAACGGCTCCAAAGAGTCTTTCCTCGTGTATGCTATATGTCATTCCAGCCATGACTGCAGTTTCCTTTCCAGTAAGTATCTAGCTCAGATATCATGCAAGACCTTCATGCACTATGTGGCAAGAATAATTTACCAGTAAAGTAACATAAGGTAAATAGAGCAGAAACTGCTAGCAACTTTCATGCTGCAAAACAAAAGAACAAAAAGAAAAAACACAAACAAAGGCACTTCAAAAAAGGAGGTAGGAGTGGTTAGTGGGGCTTTGAGTGTATTTGTGAAAAAAATATCGACTAAAAGTCACTATCATACTGTTTAAAATTATTCTGCTTGGTAAACCTGCAAAAACAGGTCTATTTCCTACATGCAGAAAGTTAGATTAATCATATGGTTAACAATGTATTCTGTAGGCCTCACATGGTAGAATTGGTAACTTTGAAAAGAAATTTTTTCAAAAGAAAAAAACATGTTGTTTGTAATTTTCCAATAGAAAATAGCTAAGAACAGACCATTTGTTTATTCATTTAAACAACACATTTATTCAGCACATTTATTTAATGGATCCCTCTTTTTTAGTGCTTCAAAGTTGAGCATAATGGGTTTTTTGTTGTTGTTGTTGGGTTCTGGTTTTTTTTTTTTTTTTTTTTGGTATCAGGGATTGAACTCGGGACCTTGCACTTGTGAGGCAGCAGCGTAACCACTGAGCTAAATCCCCGGCCCAACCATAATGTTTTTGATATGACGGGGTAAACATGCCTTGAACAGTGATGTAAATGTTGACCTTCTCAGGTCATGTCCTTATTCTGATGAAGCCCTTCCTTGTAAAGATCACTGATAATTATTGCTCCATATGGATTTCAATTTCTCACACTTAATATTCCATAACTACATTTTTTATTTTAAAAAATACAAAAACAAAAATTACATAACAAAAGAGACTCACGTTTGTAATGTTCATTTTCTGGATGATATAATCTGGGCATCTCTTATGCTCATTGATCTTTACAACAACATCTCCAAAAGTCCGAGTGCCTTCTTCCATTGAGGGCCAGTATTCTGCACATTTATTCTAGGATTTTTTAAAAAGTCACTAATGATTCTAATTTTCCCTTTAAACACTTTTATTACACACTTTGAAAAATAACTTAAATTTTTATTCATCTGAAATTCTCAAAACATCCACATGTTCTTCATTAAGCACACAGTTACACTGAAGTTGGATCTTTGAAATATACTGTTTCCCATTCATATGTCCTTAAGGATTCTCTTCACACTACTTGCCGGAAGGATAATACTCCCGAGCTCAGCAGCACAGTAAAACAGAACACGCTCTGTGGCCAGCAAGGGGGTGATTGCTCTTGGTCACTTCCACCTGGGAGATTAAGAGCTTTTACTCTTGCTAAAGTTGCATTATATGAGTTACCATCTGTCTGTCTGTCCAAGCTGAGTTGGGTTCAAAGTATTCACAAGTACTTGTGAAGTTAGCACATTCCAATGTACCAAACTAAAAATACTGGAATAAAACAGCAGCCAAATAAAAGCCAAGCAATTCAAACTAAAATTAAAATTCCATTTGACCTAGCTATTCCCCTTCTAGGTATCTTCCCCAAAGAGTTAAAGACATCATATCACAGTGATGTATGTATACCTATGTTTATAACAGTACAATTCATAATAGCTAAGTCTTGGAAGCAGGCTACACGTCCATCACCAGATGAACAGATAGAGAAAACATGGCATTTATACACAATGTAGTACTACTCTGCCATAAAGAAGGATAAATGTGAATCATTTGTAGGAAACTGGATGCACTTTGAAACCATAATGTTAAGTGAAATAGCTCAGACACACAAGTTTAAATATCACATGGTTTCTCCTATATGAATATCTCAATATATATAAAGTATGAAATAAAAGACAGATAATAGGAAAAAAAGAAAGAAAAGGTATTGTAATCCAGCATAGACAATGTGTCTAGAAGCTACCTTGATTTAATATAATTGTCTGACATGTTTTATATGTTTCTTTGGCCTATTAGTCAAGTTTTCAATCTGTATATATGATAATTAACTTTGTCAGATGTTATAAGATAAATAAATGAGTCTGATGCTGGAAAAATAAAAAGGGGGTTAGAGGGAAGAGGAAAAAAAGAATTAAAATGTGTTATATACATGTGCCAGTTCTATACAGTGAATGTAATCATTATGTACTGAAAAGATGTACTAGTAAAAGTAAAAAAAAAAAAAGTGGATTTTCTGACATCACTGAAAAAAAGCCAAACAGTTTTCAAATATTTAAATGATCTGCAAATAGGCATGTATTTATATATGGACACGTTTTTTTCTCCATGTATAAAGATTGAAATAAAGAAGTGTTAGCACTGACTAAAATAGAGAGATAGTTCAGTCGTCAAGCAGACACCTGTGGCCTTTAGAAATCCACGTCAGCACTGCCTTGCCCTGACCCCGCCCCCTTCCCATGAACCTTCTCTGTCCTTACCCTGTTTCCTTCCTCGCACCTAGTAACCATGACAATTACTGTAGCTTTCTGTTCCCAGATCATCCTCCAGAAATCATCAACAGTTTCATCCCTGGGTCCTAAGAGGGAACAATCCTAAATTAAGAAGTATTTCTTAAAAGTGCTATAAATAATTGTTCACAAATAATATTGAACTCCGTACATTACCTTGAGCAGCAATGTATTTCCTGGGTTCTTTGAAACCCTATTGGAAACATACACAAAGATGTATCATTTAACGAATATTCAATTGTTCACTAATACGCAGAACTGTGATTTAGAAGTTGCTTTAGATCTAGCCTTTCTTGGCTGTAAACTTCCCTGGCAACTTTGCAATTCGTAAGAGGATTTTTAAAATTTGTAATCAAACATGTACTGTACCAAACATAATGGTTAGCATTTACAAACAATAATCATGGCTGTGATGTATGCTTGATGTCTACCCAAGCAATTTTAAAAATTAGACTTCATCCTCATTTGGGATGATACAGCAATGTACCAGAGTAATCTCGACTTTTCTGTAGTTACATACTGTCAACTAGTACATCATGAGCCACCACTACCTTCTTGCGAGCTTTGTAATTGCTTTTAGGTTTTTTTAATCCCTCTGCGAACACAGCTACACTTCTACCTAGCTACTATTGGAACACAGTGCTGATTCCCTACAGTCCTTTTTCATCATTCCAGTTAATGGATACAGTGATTTTCATTTCAGTACCTACAATGTCTGCTCTCCCTGCTTCTGTTACTAAGATAAAGAAGGAACACAGTAGTAGGCAAAATGCACTAATTTTTTCCAAAATTATCTCCTACTTTTTAAATGTACCTTAGTGATGAGAAAAGCTCCAGGAAAAGGGAGGGACTTTTTCTCCGAATAAAATTTTGCACATGAGCTGCAAGAATTGCTCATTAATTTTAGTAACTTAGTCATGTGTATTGGTCATATTCATTTATTGAACAAGTACTTATTGAATGGCTACAATATGCCAAGCACCTATCTAAAAACTGAAGACACATACTTTCCAGGGCTTCCACCTCTGTTGGAGGAAGATAATTATAATCTGATTCCACATTTACCATATGTATTTGAACAGAAAATATAGTTTATGTTTTTTAAGAGATGACCTAAAACAGTGGTGGTGAACCTATGACATGCATGCCGCAGTGGCCTGTTTGTATCATCAAAAGCTCTAAAAGGTTCGCCATCACTGATCTAAATCCTTGAAAAATCTCTAACATTACCAGGTCTGCTTTCAAGTACTTCACTTTGAAGAACAAACTATCATTTGGAGAAGACATGGCACATTAAAATAAACCTGATCGATGCTAATTGTGAAAGCCTGCAGAGGTCACCTGACAGAAAGTTACAATAGAGTTCAAGACTTTGACCTAGTACTACCGTACTAATTATTTTTTGGACTACGATGTTACACTTGCAAATACTGGCTGTCACTGTTGAAAAATCTTATGAATATTATGTTTAAAAGTAATGGAAAAAAAGATTGCTTTATGGAGTTCGTGAGCACAGGAGGTCAGAAGAAGACATATTTGTTGATTTAGGATAGATTTCCAGGGACAGTATTATGCAGGGATACAGAAAGTGTTATATGTTAGAGTGGATGGAAGACAAGGCTTAACTTAAAGGGCTGTCTGTCGAGTCGGAATACTTGGGGGTAAAATCCTAGCTGTGATTCTACTAGCACAATTGGAATACCTCCTAGATTTGTTGTGAGGTTTAACTGAGTTAATGTACACGTATAGCACTAAACGTGATGCTTGATTATAGCAAATGTATAATAAATTATCATAAAAGTTATCAAAATCATCAGTAGCTCTGAAAAATCATTAGATGTCTCAAAAAAAGAACTTTATTGACAATTAGTACCCAAATGCTGAAGATAAATATTTTATGAATGATGCAACTACAAAATATTTCTCAATTATTCTAGAACTTTACATACACTAAATGAAATCGAATGAACTGTGCCCCCCACAATTCATGTCCACCCAGAGCCTGAGAATGTGCTCTCGTTTGGAATAGTGTCTTTGTGGGTGGAAGGGTTAAAATTATGGCATTATTAGATGAGAGTGGGTCCTAAATCCAATGGCCAGTGTCCTTAGAAAAAAAGAAGGGAGATGTTCAGACGCAATCACATAAAGACACACAGTGGAGTGGGCCACAGGATGGAGGCAGAGTTTGGAGTGACTTGGCCATAAGTTATGGGACACCAAGGATTGCCAGGAGCACCCCAAAGCTAGGAAGAGGCAAAGAACGACTTTTCCCAGACCCTTCAGAGGGAGCATGGCTTTGGCAACATCTTAATTCCAGGCTTCTGATCTCCAGAACTGTAAGAAAGTACATTTTTGTTGTTTTGAGCCGCCTAGCTTGTAATACTTTGTTAAGTCAGACCTAGGAATCTAATATACTGTGGAAATAAAGAATTATAACATGAAGTTTGACTCTAATTCACTAAAAATTTATATATTCAAATAGATCAACAAGAATGAAAATGACAAAAAGTGTTTCAATTTCAATTTTTTTCTTTAAGGAAGTTTTGGGAATTACCTTATAAATTAACATGTATAATAGCATGATATATCCTTTGTCAACTATTTGATTGTCAAAGGAATATTTTGATGATACACTCATTTGGCAAGGCTGTTGTGGAAATTAGCACTATCATATGCTGTTGGTCAATTGCAAATTTATCCAACCCCAGTGGGAGAACATTTGAAATTTTTAAAAATTACAAATGCATATGGTTTTTGTTCATGTAACTCCACTTTTTAGAAAATTATCCTACAGATATACTGAAACTCATTGTATAAAAATGAGTCAAAATGGTTCATTACATCATTTTGGGGGATAGAATTTTGGTAGTAGAATTTCAGAAAACACATTTAATGCTTATTAACTAGAAAGGGATTAAATAAACCTCAATGCAGTTAGACTATACTATATACAGTGGTTCACAAACTCAATTCTCACCATGATTCTGGTCACAAACCAAACTGGATGAAAACTGAAACAAATTTTGCCATCAGAGCAGCATTGAACCTAACCACTGAATTTGATTCTGTGCTCATCCACCTCAGTTTGGGACCAGAATTGTGGAACGAATCAAGTTCATGAACTGCAGCACCACTGTTATATGAGATATATGATGTTTATATGTGTGTATATATATATTAATATCACAAGATACAGAACAGTGTATTGCGTTAACATTTTAATACAAAAATGGGGTAACTGTATTGTGTTAACATTTTAATACAAAGTGGGATAACAAATTGGTGCTTTCATATATATATATATAAACTCTAGCTGGAGAAATAAGAAGCTAAAATAGAAGTTATCTCTTTGGTAGGTGGAGACACTACAAATAGTAGATTGGGTGAGAAGATTTTTTTTTTTAATCTGTGTATGTTTTTATATGGTTTTATTTAATTCATGTGAAGCATTACTTATTTAACAATTATATAAGAAGTTAAATTTTAAAATTTTCGATTCAATGTCACCAACAGACATTTTCATTTTGGGATAAATACAGTGTGCTGATGGTTTGTGCCAAAGAAGATGGTCATTGCTGGGCAGTGTTTAATGGAAGTTTAATTGGAGTCAGGCAGAGCTGAGATGAAACTCAGCTCAAATTGTTAGTAACTTTGTGAAGAAGGATGAGAAAACGTATTAACCTGCGCCTCTCAGTCTTCACTTACACAGCAAGCAGAGTACACATGGCGAGGGGTCAATATGGGACACACATGTATCGATAATTTAGTCCAATATCCAGCATATGACATGTACCAGGGTGTAGGAAGTTTTAGTATAATTTATTTTTTCACACACACACAAAAGTTCTTCATTACATCTAGCACTGACAGGCACATAACAACTACTCTTTGTAATATTCTTGTAACTATTTTTCTAAAATATTTGTAAAGTTTTGCAAAGACAAAAAACTAAGTGGAATGCATAGATCCAGGAAAAATCCAAATTGTCAATGAAGAAATAATGAGAATATAAAAAATTTGGCATTTTTACTCACGTCAATATAGCTGGCATTTATATAGGTGGACCCTGCATCTCCATTTATTTCAGAGAGTTCAACACGGTTATAGTCATCTATTTAAGAAAAAGAAAAACAAATAAGTGAAACAATGAGCAATCAACTAACCTAAATATACAGAAATTCAAGTTTTAATAAATACTTACAGGGAAGGATGTCAACATATCGGTTTTTATTTTGGTTAAAAGGCTTTCGAGCATCCTTGATAGAAAACTTACTGAACACACGTGGGATGCTCTGAAAAACATAAAGAAAGATTCTTTAGCTTATAGCAGATTCAGACAAAAATAGTTTTCCCTTTACCAGTTATCATTTTGAGTAAATGTTCTCTTTATACTGATAAACATTCTCTTTATGCTGATAGAACCACTTGTATACGGATATTGAAATCTACATTATTAGGAATTATGCACAAATACCATTTTCCTTAATAATTATGATGGATTATTTTCAGGACAAATATAATGAAAAAAGTTTAAAATTTGTTGCTGTGCCATTTTAAAATTCGTTTTAAAAATAGTGCTTAGATAATTACTTGAGAACAAGTACAAAATAAGTCAAACAGGTTTTGTGATGTGACTTTATAATTGACAATGGTACAGTAAAGCAATATACTAAAATATTTACTAGCTTCATACTAAGATGTTATCATCTTTTATGAGCCTCTCATCTAGCCTGTAAATATCTGCTAATAATATCTACCTCAATTATACTGCAGTGTTATTTAGGCCAAATTATAAAGGCAAATGGTCATAAAGATATGCTTAAAGTGGAATTTCCTTGATGAAAGAATAGAATTTCTCAGGCCGGGGATTTAGCTCAGTGGTTTCACTGCCTGCTGCGCAAGCGCAAGGACCCGAGTTCAATTCCCAGTACCCAAAAAAAAGAATAGAATTTCTCATCCTGTATGAAGAATGCCACATACCTGAAATTCAGCCAGAAAAAGTCGACCTTCATCAGCAATTTTTCTCTTATATGTTTCCAACAGAACATCCGCCTGAATTGGCTCCACAGTCATCAGTTGTTTTTCATCATCTGTGAGCATATTAATGAGTCGGGAGTATTGTTGAGTGTATCTTTTCCATGTGCATACAGATTTTGCTAAATTTATAACTTGGACCTAATCCTCAACTTCTTTTTTCTCCCACATATTCTGCCTGGGAAATCTCACATAGAAAACATTCATCTATAAATCCGTGACGTCTAAGTATTGTACTTCATTCTTCTGGGCTTGCTACTGTTCCTTTTTCTAGAATGCAACCCATAGAAAAGATCCCAGATCGAATAACACCATTGTTAGGACATATATATTTCCGTTTGATTGCATGAATTGTATAATAATTAATGTATTTATTTTTACATAATTATTTTTACTCCCATTTCAACTTACCAGAAAACATTAGAATTGTATTGATGAAGTTAGTTTAATTTGATAATCTTTTTATACAAGACTGTGAAGCAAGTTGTATTCATTTGTTGTGCCTCCAGAATATAAAACACATACACTATGTTTGTCAAATAACTTACTATATTAGTAGAAATACCAATTAACCATCAAGTGCTATAATTGTATATGAAACTTGAAAACAATCATATTAGACATAAACAATAAAATAATATTAGACCTAAACAATAAGAGAATTTTTTAAAAGTAAGCTGTCATATATGTTAAAAATCTTATTCCTCCTACTATTCCCCGTCCTGTTCATAGCACTTCTTTCAGTGCTCATGTTAATTTTCCCCATTTAGGAAGAAAATAAAATTGTGTGCAAGCGTGGCACATTTATCTGATTGTCTATGGAAACGTTCTATCTAATTAAACTTATCAAACGGACAAAGTGCTGTGGCTTCTTTGTGTTTTAAGAGATCCCCAGTATTCATTTATTCTGAACTGAGAACACACTGCAGGATTTTAGCGACTTTGGTGAGTAAATTCTAATGCACTCCAATGTGCAATCAGTACAAATTTTGAGATTAAACATTTTGAACCCTCTCCAACCAGCCTTGACTTACTGAAGCAGACTTTCCTCTACCCAGGTGCTTGTTGCTCTTTTGCTTTTCATTCTTCCCTCAGCCTATCAAGACTAATGCTGAAGCTGTGTTATCTTGCTAATTTATTTTGTCATTGATAAATCCTGAATTTCACACACCCACTGAGTTCTGGGCCTAGACTAGTGAATGTGTAGGAAAAAGCTCCCTGCCTTCCCAAAGCTTACATTCCAATTATAAGAGGACAATCAAGAAATCAATGAGGTCTGGGGATTTAGCTCAGTGGAGCCATCGCCTGCTTCGCAAGTGCAAGGTCTCAAGTTCAATCCCCAGCACCAAAAAAAGAAAAAGAAGAAGAAAAGAAATCAGTGAAACACTGTATCAGCTAGTGATACATTTTGCAGAAAGAAAGAAAGAAAGAAAGAAAGAAAGAAAGAAAGAAAGAAAGAAAGAAAGAAAGAAAGAAAGA